GTTTTTTTTTTTTTTTTTTTTTTTTTTACTTGAGATCTATGTTTAGGTGATCGATAATGAAGTGGTATTGCGAGGAAAATATGAAAAGTATCTCCATTAGAGAGTAAAATAAAGCATGAAATTGTAAGTTTTCAAGCAACGAAAGGAGACAAGACTCTGTTGGAGTGATTTTTGAAGAATGAGTTAATAACTCATAGGTAGTGGCTCGGTTATGCAAACCCACTAAAATCATCTCAAAAGCAAGCCTTTATGTACTCGAGGATTCAACGTGAACAATCCATAACTAAGGTGAAACTAAGTGTATGTCCGAACCGACTGATGTTGAACAATAGGCGAGAGATATGAGCATCTAATTCTTCATGTGCGATGGGCAGAGCACCAAGGCCCAAAACCCAAAACAAGCCTTACACTTGCCTAAAACAAGCCAGACCCATCTTGGCATACGCTTTAATGAATCAATTCCTTCAACTACACGAATGTACAGTTCAATTATCCTCATGTTTTTTACATGATTTGCAGGGAAATCAACACCCTTTTGCTAGCTGAATCCAAAACTAAGATTTGAGGGTATTATTTTGGAGGTGTTGTCTTCTCAAAGCCATGAACTTTGCTGCAATATCATCATAATCTGGCAACTTTGGATGAACATGGGTAGGTTTCTTATCCGGGCATGAATTTGTACGACAAAAATTCACTCTCTGGCTCTCTTTTGGTCGTTCTGGTGGCATTGTCTCTGCCCTTAAATAAAGAGCCTCCCTTTTGTTCCTCAATGAACTTGGAAGCTTCATCTCTTCACAATTCTCCATGGCGTTTGATTTTGTATCATTTGCTGCAACTTTCTTGTTGCCATTATAAGTGAAGACATCATATGTTGTAGAACTCAGATCAGAGCTTGATGGCAGCTCACTTCTCTTTGTCCTCCTCCTTCCTGGTTTCTTGTAGAAACTTGCCCATTCCATTTCCTTATCTGTTGCTCCTTCTGATCCATTTTGAACGGTTGTGAAGTTTTTGCCTTTGATTTGGTGCTTTCCCTCAGTCCCCATTGATCCTTTGATAGAGATTTTTGAGCTGGGGTTCTCTATGTCAGTACGAGATTCAGTTCGGTCAGTGTCAGTTTGGTTGGAGTTGTGTTGGGTAATCTCTGTCTTTGGGAGAGTGGCGGCTGTCTTGAATTTGAAGAGTCTCTGATCTCCCTCTATGTTGGTTGAAGAACAAAGCTCAACCACATCGTCAAGATAAACAATCCTTTCCTCTGGGAACTGAGGCAAACTGTCACAAGAACTGCTTGTTCCTGAATTAGCTTGGTTTATGTGTTGGTCTGGTTTTTCATCAGCTTTTGCAATCCTTGCCACTACCTGAGTTGTTCCAAAATGACCAATAAACAAGAAAATGTTTGGATAAATCTATCAAATTTTGAAATGAGCCCGAAGCCCAAGCACATAATGTCTTTTCTTTCGAGCTTTCCCTTAAGAATTTAAAACGCTTTCCCTTAAGAATTTAAAACGTATTTGCTAGGAAGAGGTTTTTACGTTCTTATTAAGTTAAGAATGCAGCTAGGAAGAGGTTTCCACACTCTTATCAGACATGCTTAGTTCCCCTCTTCAACCAACGTGGGATCTCACAGTCCACCCTTTTTAGGAGCCTAGCGTTCTTGTTGGCATGCTGCCAGATGTCTGGTTCTGATATCATTTGTAACCGTTTAAGTCTACCGCTAGTAAATATTGTCCATTTTGACTCGTTACGTAACGCCGTTAGCCAGATATGTTTTAAAATCGTGAGGCTGACGACGATACGAACTTGTTAAAAATAAAGAAACCGTGAGGCCCACTTATGTTTCTTGGACTTTCGATCCCACTTATGTTTCATTATTCTTAACATGGTATCAGAGCATCATTCTGAACAATAAAAGGCTAAAACGAACCATATTTACTAGCAGTGGACTTGGGCTATTACATTGACCAAGAATTTCAAATGTTTTCTCGAAAACTAGCGTTAAACGAGACTTAATACTTGTCTATGAGTGAAACCGACCTGATTTTGGTGCCAATCTGAACGGTATTGAAGAGCTAAAAGCTGAGGTTGGAGGCAATCTCTAGCAATTTCATTCATCATTCTCTGCTTATCATCATCCGACACCGAATTTATTAAGAGCTTCTCTTTTATCTGTAAACAAAATTAGTTGGCTAATTAGCTAATCCTCAAACTAATCTGGACCAAAACAGAGCATAATATGAAGTTTACTGCACCTGGCAATTTACAAGGTTTCCTGGACCAAGCTGAACGGCCGAACTTTCAAACCTACGCCCATAACGCTCTCCAAACAGCTTCCTTATATGCTGCAGCTCAGGAAGATCCCCACATCTCGCTGCGGCAAACATGAGGCTTGAAACTGCTTCATTAACATCATTGGGACAGTCTCTAAACACGAAACCAAATCTTGGTAATAAGAAACAGTTCAAAAAGCTAATGAATTCATTCGAGAATCAAACTGTAAAAACTGTACCTGTGTTTGCGTATATAAGATAGATTTAGGAGTATGAATTCACAGAAATTGTCCAAAATTTCATACGCCGCCACTCTGTTTTCATCTTTTACTATCTGCTCCACCTGAAACAGAGGATTTTAATTCATGGGTGTTCTTTGGAATCAAACAATTTGATCAAAGTTGGAAGCTTTTGAAACAATTTGGTTGGTTTTTGACGTACCCTGCTGAAGGCGGTTTGATCATACCCATTTCTAATGAGTTGCACGACATCTTCCTTCATTTGCTTCGTGATTATACCCTTTTTGTTCTTCAGCAGCTTGAGGCGGCATTGAACTTGTTTGATCAGCTTCTTACTGCAGCCAAGACAGGCAAATCAAAACGACAAACCCATGTAACAAGAACAAGCTTGAAAGTCTGCAACATTTTCATTACCATTTGGAAGCTTTTCGCCATCCGAAGAAGATGCCAAACATGTTGGTGTGAAAGTTATGAGAATCGTTGAACAAATTATGAGGGAATTAAGGAATGAAGTTGAGATTTATAGTGATTATATGGTTTAGTTCGAGGAGGATAAGGAAGAATGAAAGGACTGGTGGTGACAGTTGGGCTGATAGAAGAGGGGGAGTTGTATTTATGGAGAGTGGGTAGGAATTTGTAGAAAGGGAGAAAAGGTAGTGGGAGAGAATGAAGGAAAAAACGACAGTTTTTGTTCTGGTTGGAACCCCTTTTTAACACATGTCAAATCATAAGCTTAGCAGCTCCTCTGTCCCAAGTTTTTTCCTCTTTTTTACTCACAACCACCTTAAAAACTTGTTAACCTAGTATTAATTGCTTATCTTTTAACTTTTTGTACTCAAGTTTCGTTCCCCTCCCAGGCAAATGTGTAATGTGTAATTTTACTGTTCATTCTCTATGGAGCCTAGTGTCTTCACTGGTATATCGTCTGGTGTCTAGCTCTGATACCATTTTTAAAAACTCAAGCCCACCGCTGGTAGACATTATCTGCTTTGGCCCGTTACGTATCACCGTCAGCCTCACGGTTTTAAAATGCATCTACTAGGGAGAGGTTTCCACACCCTTAAAAGAAATTTTCATGCCCCTCTCCAACCGATGTGGAATCTCACAATCCACCTCATCGAGACTCAACGTCTTTGCTGTCACAGTGTCTCGTGTCTGGCTCTAATACTATTTATATCAGCCCAAGCCCACTGCTAGTAGATATTGTCCTTTTTGGCCCCCGATGTCAATCTCACAATTTTAAAACGCGTCTACTAAGTAAAAGTTTACACACCCTTATAAGAAAATTTTCGTTCCCTCTCTAACTGATGTGAAATCTCACTCTTTTTTAAGTGCTTAATTCGGTCTAACAACTTTTAAAATCAAGTTAATCGAGTTTTTATCACTCCATCCTTCAACAATATAAGCACTAAAAAAATGACAAAAAGTGAAGACAAAGAACAAAGATAACACACATAACCAGGAAGAAGAACATGGTTTCCTACATTATATTAAACAAAAAGCTGATGAACAGAAGAGCATCCTCTGCTTAAGATGCTTGTGATTGAAGTAAATGATGAAGTTGGAGTATTAAAAAAGGTGACCTTTTTCATATGAAAAGGGTGCAAAAAGGAGGGAGAAAACATGAGGGTCATAATGAATCCCACCCCTCCATAAATTATATGAACCTTTTTGGTATGGGTAACGGTCCAAGCACACAGCTAGTATATATTGTCCTCTTTGGACTTTCTTTTTCGAGTTTTTCCTCAGCTTTAAAACGGGTTTGGTAGGAAAAGGTTTTCACACCCTTTGTAAGGGTGTTTTGTTCTCCTCCCCAACCAATGTGGGACATTACAATCCACCCCCCTTCGAAGCCCAGTGTCCTTCTGACACTCGTTCCTTTCTCCAATCGACGTGGGATCTCTACCAACTCTACCCCGTGAGAGAAAAAGAAGATTAAATAGGAGAGAGAGAGTTTGGGTTAATAAAAAATAGGACTCTTAGTTGACTTGTTATGTCTTTGTAGACAGAAATGAAGCGAGGTAGATTAGGTGTGTCGCCCATAGTCGTCTCCTAATGCAACAAAAAGCAAGTGTTTTTAAGTAAGGAATAGCTGAGAGGTCGTTATCTTCCACATGAAAGAGCGACAGCCAATACAGATGGATAATCGGTGTGGTGGCCTAACGTTGACAAACAGTCATGCCTATATGCCTAGCCACCCATAACCTAGAAGGAAATCTTCTTAATACACATAAATTTCCGCTCTTCTAGCTCGAGTAGAGATTTTTCTCTTAACTAAACGGTGTTAAAAATAAGGATTATATTTTTGTCCCCTCCCTATCCCATATCACAATTACACTATTTTTGAGATTGTGTCACTTGTTCTATCCTAGGAAATAAGTTAGTCATGTAGAAATCGTATAGACAATTCAGACGTATGGTCGAAGCTCGAGCAATGTTTTGAGAGAAAATGTTTTAGAAAACGATAGCAAGAAAAATAGTTGAAAACAAGTTGAAATTGTGAAAGTCAATTACATGTGAAAACATGTAGGCTAGAGGGATTACCATGCTTGGTTGGAGGAGTTTTGATGACTACTTGGCTCCTCTAATATATTTTGAGATGATTCAGATTTAATATGAGCAGACATGATTTTGCAGAAGAGTCATACTAAATGAAATAATAAGGTAATACAACACGAAAGTAAGAGAGATTTGACATGTCATGTATAGATAACACGTCTTAGACAAGTATGACCGTGACACCCTTATTTTATAATCGGAATCATAATGAAAATTTATGTCAATATTCCCCTTGTTGAAACAGTCACGACAATCATTCTTACAACCACAGCTCAATTTATTACCATTTACAACACAACCTTGAACGATGTGACAAAATTTAGAACCCCACTCCATTAATGCCCACACACACCCAAACCCAAGAACTTGCACCCAATTTCACGTAAATGGAGCAGTTTTTATGCACTCTTTCATCAACATCAACACAGTCTCATCCAACCACATGAAATTCGAGTTTCGCAATCAAACCCTAAACCCTTCTTCTTCTTCTTCTTCATGTGAGTCTCTAATGAACAAAACCCAGTTCCCACCATCTTTCCTGTGATTCGCTTCAATATGAGCTGCCCTTTATATGCCCTTTTGCTTCATCCTCTCAATTTCACCAATTTTCTAACCAAAATTGAAAGAAGCAATGACACCCACAAAGGCTTCAATTCTGGTCGTCGCTGTTCTTCTCATTGTCATCCTTCAAGTTCCCACAGCCATGCCCGCCAGACACCTCCCGTCTCGTAAGAATCTAGCTCAAACCCAATACAAAGATCACATTTTTAAACAAACCCAGATGATAAAAGTAGATTTATTTGGTGCCCATTATTGAAAAAAGTGTCAATTTTTTGGCTATGCAGATAATAGTCCAAAGCGAGCGAGGGGCGAGACGGTGGAAGTTGCAGGGTCGAGGTTACCAGATTGTTCTCACGCTTGTGGGTCGTGCGCGCCATGCAGGCTTGTGATGGTTAGATACTTTTGTTCTTCGGTTGAAGACTCGGAGACTTGTCCCTTGGCTTACAAGTGCATGTGCAGCCACAAGTCCTTCCCTGTTCCTTGATTGGATCAGATTTCTAGCTATCTTTGGGCTGTGTGTATCATATATTAATAATGCCTTTTCTCTCATATAGCTTTATTTTAGGATCGGTCTTGGGTTTTCGTTTTTAGAATCAAGGCGTTCTTGTTATTATCAGCCATCTTGTAAGGGTTTTTTTAGTACTAGAAATGCATATGCATGTGTTCTTGGTTACATATGTAACATCAATTTATCTTTACATATAAGTGTTATCACCTACAACTTTAAACATATGTGGTACATCAATTACTATCCACTTTGATAATGTTGAATTTGTGACACCCGAATAAAGGAATGGTCGTTCATCTTCCTTTTCCATGACCCATGTTGGTTTGTACACAGTCAAACCCACCATTAACCGATATTGTCACGCGTCTACTAAGGAGTGGTTTATAAGAAATTATTTGTTTTCCTCTCCAACTAATCCACCCCTTGAGGGCTTAGCGTCCTAGGGGGACGCGTCTACTAGGGAGACCCTTATAAGGAATGATTCGTTCTCCTTCCCCTTGAGGGCTTAGCGTCCTCGAGGATGCATCTACTAGGGAGAGGTTTTTACACCCTTATAAGGAATGATTCGTTCTCTTCTCCAATCAATCCACCTCCTTGGAGGCTCAGAGTCCTCGCTGGCTCCAATCGAGGTAGGATCTCACAATTCACCCCTTTTGGGGGGCCAACATCCTCGCTAGCACACCGCTCGATGTCTAGCTCTGGTACCATTTGTAACAACTCAAACCCACTTTTACACAGGTATTATACACCTTAGCCTATTATGTATCGCTGTCAACCTCATAGTTTTAAAAGGTGTCTACTCGGGAGGATTTCTACACTTTTATAAGGAATGATTCGCTCCTCTCTCCAACCGATGTGGGATCTCACAATATCACGAAAAAATGATAAGGTCATCAAATGTATTCCAAATTCTTATCTAAATCTTGGCATACATAACATAATTTTTAGGGTAAGGTTGTTTATTAAGAGTAAAAACTAAAAAGAAAGTAAAGGAATGAACTTGAAACTTATCCTAAAATATAAGAATGATCTCATCACAAAATATTGAGATTCATAATTAATAAGCCAATATGAACATTGTTGTAGTTTAAGCAATGACCCAATTTTTTATGTATGCAACGTAACAAATAAGAGAATGAATTACCAATAATAATTCATACACATAATCTTCCAAAGGAGGGGGCGGCGAGAGACACGAAGAAGAAGAACAACCCCGAGTGCTACGGAATAGGCAATTTGATAGGAGCTTGATTGGTTTCAATGCCTGAGGCAGACAAACACAGATCAAAGCGAAGAAATGTCACTCATTTTCTTCCCCCAAATCCAATCTTCTTCCTCTTCTTCTCTGGTTCCTATTGTTTCCCCTTCAAACCCCTTCTTCCCGTGGTGCCCACCGCCCGAACCCACATACCAGGACGGTCTAGGTTACCACCACCGCCGCCGCCGCCTCTCTGCACCGCCCATTTGTTCCCTCAGATGCCATAGCGAGTACTGTTCTTTTTCCCCCCCATTGCTGTCTTTCTTGCTGCCTTTTGTCGGGTTTTCGTTTGTTTGTCTTGCTTTCTAATTCTAATAATGCTACTCATTGAAGAGACATCTAGTTCTACCTTTTCCCATTTTTTCAATGCTCATGATTTTCCTCTGCTTTTTTACATTATAAACTTATGCCTAAAGGATCCCTTGAATTGCGCTTGTAATCTTTTCATGTTCTTCTCTTTCAAATGTCTCACTCTTCTTAGCTTCTCCTCCTACGTTTATATTTATACATGGGTTTTGCTTTGTTCTTCATTTTGGGAGGAAAATTGGTTTCTTAATGAGATTCAGGAGGAGAAGACAATGCTTTCCATCTTGCTCTTCCCTCTATGAAGTAATCCACCCATCAATTTCTCTGTGTTCACCTCCCTTTATCATTTGTTCGTAGATTGAAACTAAAATTCAATGTATTGATCATTCCCAATTTGCTGGACATGTCGGAGGAACTACTGTTTGAAGATCCGATGATTGTGTTCTTGTTTTTTGACAGTCTTAGGCACTGATGTTTTTATGACAGTTAATTGTGGAAAATTATTGTAGGTTGATGAAGATGAAATATATTGGAGACAGAGAAGGGGTGACGAAGAGTTAGAATGGTCACATCGTTCCACCCCTGTAATTTTACAGCTAGCACAATGTTTTAGTGAGTATAGAGCAGTGTTTGAATGTTTTTTTTTAATGTTTTTGAGATGAAGTTGTAGAATTGTGATTTTGTGGAATTCACACGTGCTTTTATATGCTCGCCATGTCTCAGTGTCACCCTGTTGTTTACAAATTAGCTTGTGGTAAATGTAGCTAATGCTATGGTTGGACCACGAACATGGATTGGAGGACTTTTCAATCGCGCAGGCAACAGAAAGAATGATAAGTTTGTTCAGTACCCGTTGAGTCCTCTTCAGGTAAAAATAGTGTTGGAAGGTCTATGGGTATTGTAATTGACTTGATGTTGTGTTATTTATCAGTTTTGTGTGTTGTGCTATTCTACATCCCTCGTAGAATGGGCTAAACGTTGGTTTGTTAGTGTGAGGGAAGCTTTACCTCTTGAGTAGCTTTTGTCTTGGAAAGGCCATTGGTTTGTAATAGATCCTTGTGTTCCTGCCAACATGAGCATAGGTGAGTGATGAGAGCATCTTTACTCCCTCTAAGAGGTTATAGGTTTGAATCCCAACCCCCCATGTGTTGATGCAATGTTCTTAAAAAGAGAAAAAAAAGAACAATAGATCTTTGTGTTCCCGAGAATGTCCGCTCATGTGCACCGCTAGTAGATATTGAACTCTTTGGGCTTTCCCTTTCGGGTATTCCCTTAAGGTTTTTAAAACGTGTCTGCTAAAAAGAGGTTTCCACACCCTTATAAAGAATGTTTGGTTGTCCTCCCAAATGTAAGTGGATCTCACAAAATGGAGATCCCACCAAATGGCGTGTGTCCTCTGTTTATTAATTTAAAACTTGTGATCCCCTTTTTATTGGACGAGACCTTCTAAAAGCTGAAGTAAATGCAGTTTTATATAAAACCATTCTTCTAATCGCTTGTTCTAACATGGGATTTATGCAAACAGGAGGAAAGGTTTCAAAGGCTACAAGACCGAATTCCCATACCTTTTGATGAGACACAACTTGAACATCAAGTATTTTTCTTGTTTTAACTTTCAACAGCTGTGAGATGAGTTGTTGTTACTCTTGCTAATAATCGTTCATTGATGACAGGAAGCCCTGAAAGCATTGTGGGATGCTGCCTTTCCAAATATTGAGCTCAAAGGGATGGTATCTGAGCAATGGAAAGAAATGGGTTGGCAAGGACCTAATCCATCCACTGACTTTAGGTACACTCCACACCAACATCTCATATTAGTATGTTCATATGTTGTATCAATACTTTATTTTTCATATTTAAAGTTAATTTTTTTCTCACAGTGAGCTGATTTCTTAGGGGTTGCGGTCTCATTTCGCTCGAAAATTTGCTGTTTTTCTCCAGGACGTTTCCGGTATGTCGTATCCTGCTGTTTTTCTGTGTCTCATTTCCCTAAATGCCTGAATTATCACTAATCACATACAAATTCAAAAAATGAAGGCATCTTTTCGTAGGTTGTTATTGAAGGAAGGTGGTAATCGAGCAACTTGGGAATATCCGTTTGCTGTTGCTGGCATAAACATTTCATTTATGTTGATACAAATGTTGGATTTAAACTCAGGTGTGTGTCTGATGTTTTCTACTGAACGCTCCTATTTGTTTGGAGCTCTGCTTTTCTAGATGAAGCAATTAGAGGCTTAACTGGGAATTGATATGATGATGCTATCCTCCTCCCAAAAGAATGCAATACAACATTTTTGACCCCTAACTAACATTGGGCCAATATGCATTGTTCTTCGCCTCACTTTGATGATTTGTCTAGATGAGATCGAAGCAAGTTCAAATGCCTGAATAGCATACGTATCGAAGTCGATACAATTGCCTCGATAAACAATTTTTATGGGGTATAGGCCTTCCAAAATGTAATGGAAATGTGCTAACGTTTCCTTAGGCCAAATAGAGATGGGCTCTCGAGCGCAACTTCTTGATGGGGCATAGATATTAGAAAATAGTCTGTGTAATCCTACATCGATTGGAGAGGAGAACGAAACATTCCTTATAAAGATATGGAAACCTCTCCCTAACATATGCGTTTTAGAACTATGAAGCTGACAGTGATACATAACAAACTAAAACGGACAATATCTGCTAGCGGTGAGCTTTAGCTGTTACAAATGGTATCAGAGTTAAACACTAGACGGTGTGCCAGCGAGGACACTGGGATTCCAAGGGAGTAGATTGTGAGATCTCACATTGGTTGGAGGGGGAACAAAACATTCCTTATAAGGTTTCGGTGATACGTAATGGGTTAAAGCAGACAATATTTGCTAGTAGTGAGCTTGGGCTGTTACAAACATACTCTCCCTTGTTCTCTAGCACAAATGGGTTAAAGCTGACAATATCTGCTAGTAGTGAGATTTCGAAATTTGTTCCAATAACTGATAGAATCTTGTCATCTCATTACAGAAAGACCAAGGTGCCTTCCCGGACTCAATTTTGTGAGACTATTAGGAGGTACTGGGTTTGTTTCATATTGATTCGTACACATATTTTCATTGCTAAACTTGTACTTCGTTTCGTTTCATCTCGTTTCGTTGGTCGTGACAGAAAACGAAGAAGCATTCGACATACTATATTGTGTAGCGTTCAAAATGATGGATGCTCAGTGGGTTGCCATGCATGCTTCGTACATGGAGTTCAATGTATGCTCCTCCTCTCTCTCCTAAAACTTGAATCCATCAAGAATTCGCTAAGTGTTGGAAGTTTTTGATTGTTGTAACTATCAGGAGGTGCTGCAAGAAACCAGAGCGCAGCTGGAAAGAGAGCTATCTCTGGATGATGTTCACAGAATAGAAGATCTACCATCTTATAATCTCTTATATCTCTCTAACTTATCTTTTACTTCTCTCTCTACTAACGTTTCGTAGGAATTGTTATTATTCTTTTTTGAATCCATAAATACAAGCGTTAGGGTACGATGTTCTAAATGTTCCAACTAGACATATGATATAAAAGCCAACAAAATTTAACAAACATTCATTCTTCGTCCACAAAATTGAATACGTTTGGCCATCAACCTCAATTTCATGAGTTACAAGCTGACTTAATTGAGAAATTATCATTTGGAGTGGAGTTGCACGCTTCATTTATAACTTTTTTGAAAACTTTATTTAATATTTTAATTTCATCACTTCTGTTTAAATAGTGAGAAGTTACTTGTCAAAATAATTCTTTGTGTACACTTGTCAATCATAGTCGTAACTTTTAGAGTGGACATTTGAGAGTGGGAAGAACTTGTCAATAATCATGGTGGGTATTGGAAGAGTTTGTTTTAGGGAAGACTATAAATACTTACAAATTAATACGTAAAAATCTGATTTTTTTTATGTATAAAATTGAGTTCTCGAGACTATCTTTGTCATTCCTAAGTTTTCAAAGAATTATTATGATAGATTGCATCTTATTGTCCATTTGAACCATTCAATCAAATTTTTATTTTGGTGATTTAATTCTTTCGAATCTTGCTTTTTAATATTTAATTTTACTAAAATACATTATATATATTTGTGCATAAATATGAAAAGGGAAATGACATAAATACCCTTTGGTTATGGACAGAAAAAGGCAAGATAAGACCTTTGAAAAAGCAACCCTAACAAATCATTATAAATATTGTCACCCTTTGTGAATGTCACCCCCATTACACCAACCCCATTTTATAATTCTCAACTATCTCTCTGAAACAAAATAAAACCAGAGAGATTGAATCGGAGAGACAGAGAGAGATGGCAACCAAAGAAACAGAGGAAACAGAGGAAACAGAGGAGCTGCTTAAAGGCCAAGCAGAGATATGGAAATATATGCTCTGTTTTGCTGATTCAATGGCCTTAAAATGCGCCGTCGAGCTTCACTTGGCTGATATCATCAACTCTCATGGCTCTCCCATATCGCTATCTCAAATTGCTTCCTCCATTGTCGCCTCCGATCCCTTAGCCACCCCGGAGATCTCCTACCTCAGTCGAATCATGAGACTGTTGGTCCGTCGGAACATCTTCGCTGTTCATCACTCATCAGACGGCGGAGAGCCACTTTATGGACTGACCCACTCCTCCAAATGGCTCCTACGTGACGCCGAGCTCACCCTCGCTCCGATGGTGCTAGCGGAGCTTCACAAATGGATGGTCGACCCATGGCTCTGTTTCTCCCAAGGCGTTAAAGAAGGCGGCGACCAATTCCAAAAAGCCAACGGCCTTGACATTTGGAGCTTCGCTTCCACAAACCCCCAATTCAACCAATTGTTCAACAACGCCATGGCTTCCACTTCCAAAGTCATCATGAAAGCGATTCTCTCCGTTTACCAAGATGGGTTCAGCTCGATTGAGTCACTAACCGACGTCGGCGGTGGAATCGGCGGAGTCATCTCAGAAATCGTCAAAGCATTCCCCCACATCAAGGGCATCAACTTCGACCTGCCGCACGTAATCAGCACAGCTCCGCCGTATCAAGGAGTGACCCACATCGGAGGGGACATGTTCGAAGCCATTCCCAAGGCCGATGCCGTGTTTATGAAGGTGATTGATTTGATTGCTTCCTAAAGTTTGAATTTTTTTGATGTAATTTGTGTTGAAATGGGTGATTACAGTGGATATTGCACGATTGGGATGACAAGGAGTGCGTGAGGATTCTTAAGAACTGCAAGAAAGCGATACCGGAGAAAACAGGGAAAGTGATTCTAGTAGAAGTGATTTTGAAGGCGGATGGAGATGGGGCATTTGATGATACTCGATTCTATTTTGATCTGTTAATGTTGGCGCATACCAATGGAAGAGAGAGGACAGAGAAGGAGTGGAAGAACATATTGGAAGAAGCTGGGTTTCCTCGATACAGAGTTATTGCTCTTCCTGCTATAACTTCCATTATTGAAGCTTATCCATCCTGAATCTTGTTGTTTCCGACTTATCCCACTAATAATAAGTTTGAACTTTCTGCAAATATTGTTCAAATTTAGATGATTTCATATCATCACTCTATTTCCTTTCATTTGGTTATGATTCAAGTTATCACATGTAAGTTCATCAATGATGTATTATTGTTTTTCCTTTCTTTTAATAAAAGTAATCATTTTATATGTTAATTCTTTTCACATGGAAATTAACTTAACGGAAAGTATGGAACTGATTACCTTGAAGAACCAAATCAAGAGTAAAGAAAACTAGTTTCTAATCTCGTGATTCAAATCACTCCACAAGAGGATTGATCAATGTCACTCGACTCTAATATGCAAGTTCTAAACACAACCGTTTACAAAGAAAAACTTAGCTCTCAACAAAGAAATTTTATTCTTAATTTCAAAATCTGATGTCACTAAGTGAAGAAAACAACTTTATATAACACCCTTAACCTGTGATACATAATTCTCACATTAAATGGGCTAGTAAATGAGAAATAATCATAAGCTCCATATTAAAATGGCCGGTTAATAGTGAAATGCGGTAACTTATGTGGGTTACAATATAACCTTCACTCTTATACTTAAAACTAGACAAACAAATAGTTAAATTATAATTAAATAGTGCAATGAATGAAATGTGCTTATTAATCATCCTTAGACTAGTTTCATAAATTCAGCTGAGTTCATTAAATGCAACTTGAAGAGCCTTTAATTTATCTCTTTCTCGAAGCTCAACTTTTCACAACATATAAGGGAGGTCTCCAACGTCTTCTAAAATTTCCTTTGATGAGCTCACCATAGCTTGAATATAAGTGTATAGGGTTTGTTGTAGCTTCTTGACTCTCGTCCTTGTAATTGGACTTAGAGGTATGAAAATTCCTTGGTCGTGGTTCATATCACTTTTGATCTCTACTTTTTTTTTATTTTATTTCGAACGAATATATATATTCATACCTAAAGGGAGATTGAAATAGGAGGCAGGCACCTCGTCTCCGGCACTATTTTGTCATCTCTATAGTCATCTCAACTCAGATAAGTTCAACTTGTCAACTTAATATAAACTAAATAGATAAAAATAAAAAATAAAATTATTTTGTCATCTCTATTTTGTCATCTCTTTAGGTTCACTTTCGTTCAAATGTAATACCTTTCGTTTACTTTAGCGTCACACTTGAACGTTTAGATTCTTCAAAAATAAAATATTTTTTTTACAATAATAAAGAATAAAATTTAACGTGATAACTACGGTTTAAAAATTAGAAAGCTTACATGATATTATTTATAATAATTTTATAGATGATATATAACATTTCTTACCTAGAAAAATTCTCTAAGCATATGAAAATAATATTTGAATTTATTTTTTTATTATTTATTTATTTATTAAAATCAGTTTGCGATAAAGGTAGGTTTGTTTGGTATAAGTTTTATCCAATTTCAACTACCCAAGTTTCTAGAAGTTGTTTTAAAAGCATTTTAATTACAATATTCTGTCAATAAATAAATAAATAAATAAATAAGAAGTTAAATTACAACAATATCCCTTGAATTTTATACATTTTCGCTTGATCATAATGTATATGATATGCCAATGTCGTTGGGGCAAATTTTATTTTAAATTTTATAAGATAATGACGGCCACTAATCTAATTTACAAAAATAATTAAATTTTATAATCTATTAAAATAATTATTAAATATGCTTGTGAAACATTTGGTGCATAAAATTATTTACTTTATCATATGAAAGAAAATTAAATTTATATACTATTAAAATAAAATAAGATATATGTTTTCGATTAAAATATCTTCTTAATTGTCACAACGATTAAGAGCCTAATTTAGTGAATAAAACTATTTATGAGTTGAGTTAGGTTCAGTTGAGATTTTTTTTTTACCACCTAATTCAATTGTTAAAATAACTTTTATTAAATAATAAACTTAATTCAATCCAACCATAAATTTTTTTTTACACGAGTGAGATCATTAAGGTTATTTATTCAAAAAAAAAATAATGCTACTTCTTTATTTTGAAATATTTAATTAAAAAATTATTCTTTAAATATTTAAAATTTATATTTAAAAGTTATTGTAGAATAAATAAATAAATTATTATTATAAATTAAATAAAAATAAAACAAATATATGTAGGTATATATTTTAATTTTAGAAATAAATTTAGCTTGATTATATTAGAGAACTTAATGTGTCATGAAATTTGATTATTTTTTTATTAAAAACATTCCTTTGAAGAAAACCAAATTATATTATTTATTATTATTATTATTATTATTATTATTTTGTAAGTTTTAATAATATTGGTTGAGACAATAACATATAATTAACTTGTTATACAGAAAAGAGGATAAAAAAAAAAGGTTTTGATTTAACTTACTATAGTTTTTGATTTCATCGAGTTATAATTGATTTAAACGTATTGTCATCTCATATTTTCTTAGTTGGACAGTTGAGGTTTCAAAATTACAATACGCACGTATAAAAATGGAAAAGTATTTTCAATCGATTTTATAACGCAAATGGAAATAAAATACTAAAAATATCTCCCAAATTTGAAGTTGTACACTGGTAGGTTCTCAAGTTTATTTTCAAGGTGGACCAGAACGATGTGACAAGAGCAAACTTAGAACGATGTAACAAGAGCAAACTTAACACGAGAGTCGTTAAAGTAATGCCAAACACATTTATTCATTTTCCAAGACTAATGTCTAGGTTCATAGGATGCTATAGTTTTATGAATTTAACCCATTTTTTCAACAAAAAAAAAAATATCACATGGACTGTGTTAATCAAACTTAGAAGTAGTATGTAACGATCTGAAATTTTCTACTTAATCTAAAGTCGCTACTGTATACATATCATAAACATTAAATGCGGAAATACTTCACTTAAACTTTCATAAAACATAGCTTTGATCTTAGAACACAATCATTAACTTATGCGTTCGAAGACATTGTTAGAACGACACTACAAAGGACTAAATAAAATAAATGAACGATTAAATTAAGAACACCCTATTTTAACCTAAGTCTAAGAAAAATAAATGCGACTACCTTATGCATGTGTCATAGTCTAGAGCTGCATAAAGTTATGTATAGTAAACGTTATTGTTATGATAGTTTGATAAAACGATACAATAAGGTTATGTATAGAAAAGATTCATGGAGACTTCTTTTTAAAGTCTGGCTTTTAAGGACGTCGACTACTGGACACCAAAAGCACATGACGAGAGATTTGTTCATATTTTTTAATACCTTATAATATGAACATCGTGATGATGAAGGGACAACATTTTCAATTGGTAGCAATGTAATTGTTTAAAAGTTACCAACATTAATATTTCAACTGCTGTCACATCCCAACTCAATTATATTCATACCAAAGTTCAAAAGTCGCATTATTTTGTGCATTAAAATATATAAACATATGGTCAGAATAAAATAATGTGCATCAGAAAATTGGAAAAGTGCTCATAATCATAGCTACCTTGAGAAAGTTGGGTTCATTTTCCTTTAGCTTCTATCATTTCATGCTTAATTGCTACTTCCTTCAAGGACACAAAATATGGTCCCAATCGAGCAGAAGTCGCCTAACATAAAATTTGACATTTCACACCAGATTTTCTAGCATGTTTTTCTACCCGAGTTCTTACTATGTTCACTTACATGCATTCTAAGAAAATTTTTAAGACGTCACCCAACATAGAATTTGTAACAGCCTAAGCCCATTGATAGTAGATATTCTACTCTTTAAGCTTTTCCTTTCGCCATATTATTGTCTTTGGGCTGGCCTTCTGAAATTGTTCTCTTCGTGTTTTCTCTCCTAGGCTTCCCCTCAAGGTTTTAAAAATAATTCTTAAGAGGTCACTCAACATAAAAATTTGTATTATCTGAACATTTAAATTAGCCATTATCCCATTTTCAGAATTTGATTTGTTTGATTTGGTAGAGGGGGTGTTTTAATTATTATTTTTTAATCTCATTTAATCTGTCAATTTTCTGCTATTTATCCAATAAAAAATATATTTAAATTAGCCATTATCCCAAATTTAAAATTTTCCATTTTTCGTGTATTTTTTTATTTTTTATTTTTATTTTTAAAGTTGAGCTTCTTATTGATATTTTATTAAATTTATAGATATTTTTATTAATTAAATTATTTTCTGATTCTTATAAAAATTATTATTATTATTTGTAAATAAAATTGAGAGACCCATGTGTTGGAAGTAGTGATGTTTGTGGGTATTGGGACCCCAAAGTCATTAAATAATTATGGGAAGTTTAATTTTATGGTTTCCTGGTGTGATATGACTCTCTAAATGTTTCATTTTTCTCTATGTTCATACTTATAAAGTGGACATGTTCGGGTTCGGGTTAAAGTCATGTGTTATGCTCACTTTCTTAATCATCAGTCAGGTAACATTTCAAAAACGGAAAATTTAGAAACCTGGGGATCTGAGATATTACTATTCCTATGGATTAGAATGAGATGTCATCAACCATAACCATTCTTTACACTTTGGAGAGAGACTAAATAAATTAATCGTTTTTATTGTTCAACTTGATTACAAGGCCTATTAATTAATAATTCTTATACGATTACTCTTATCCCAGGTTCAAAATGGATTTTTCACTTCCACTTTTTAATTTCTTAATAAAATATGTTTCAGTCTTTGTCATTATTAAAAAAAATTCTTTAATGCACGTGATCTATACTTGTACTACATCAATTTTAAAACAGCTTTAAGACAAGCGATGTTAGAAATGTTCATTTAGTACAGAGAATGAAAAAAAGCGTTGGAAGAGATTTCTCTCCATTAAAAATAATGGGGTCGGAGATGGAGAGTAGGAAGGGATTCTCTCCACTAAATAAATGGGGCTGGAGATGGAGATTATACTCCTCACCGACTCTGCTCCTACCCTGCTTAATATAATATATATATATAAAAAGAGACTTGCTAAAGTCCACTAAATATATAATTGAACTTTTTTTTTTAATTCCATTTCCAAATATATATAAAATTTTCTAATTTTTCCAATGAGACTTATGCCCTCTTTATTAGATATATTGATTTATTAGAATTTTTACACATTAATATAAAATTAAAAAAAAAAATCCGATGTAGAACCCGACCTCCACAAATTCTCCATGGGTAATCCCGTCCCAATTTTCACAAAAATAAATAGGTAATTTAGCATAGATGAGAAAGGTTTAATAGCCCCACCTCAGAATACGACTCCACAAATTAGTCTACTACAGAAACGAGAGACTTCATAAGTTTAGGGACTTGAGAATGTAACAAAAGACGGGGGGGACTCAACCGTCTTATGAAAAGGGATGCCGCTATGTTGAAGACACAATTATCTCACTTGCAAACATATCTGGGCGGGATTAAATATATGATGGGGTTTCCCGATATTGTAACAATAGTGGGTTCTTCAAGAATGTATCGCGGTGGGAATTAATCATAGATATCCCCATTTTACCATAAATAACTCGAACTAACCTAGTTAATTACACAGCACAAACCAATCTGCCAATTCCATGAGAGCGTTGAAATATCTTTTAAAGACTTCAATAACCAGGCAGCCTCCACATGTGCTATTATATTATCCAATCTTATCAAATTGAACGCCACGTTGTTCCAACCCATCATCAATCAATTTGAGTTCCTAAGCTACCATTCTTGGCTCCATCATGTGGGTGTCTCAATGTTTTGACAACACAGATAGAGAAGAAGTAGAACAGAGAATAACAGAGCCACTAAAATTACTACAACAAAGCCAGTAGTAGTAGGGGGCTAAATGTTTATCATTTCATTATGGGGGAAATGGATCATCACAGTTCACAGAATCATAACATTCTCTACGCTCTCTCGCTCTCTCTCTGCGCTTTCCTCTCCCTTTGAACAAGCCTGGTGAGTAGTCAGTAAGTAGTTTTCTATGCACAACCACCCCATCGCTAAGCCAAACAAAAAAACAAAAAAAACAAAAAAAAAGCAAGAAAAGAACAGCCAATTACAGAGTCATACACAAACATGAAAAACTCAGGCATGCCTGCGCCTGATAATCAAGATGAACACGTTAGAAGAAGTAAAAGAAAATGCAGAACTTTCTCCATGGAAACTGCACAAAAGCAGAGAAACCAACTAAAACCAGGATTTTTTTTGTTTTTGTTTTTTTGTTTTGTGTTTTTGTTTTTGTGTTTTGTGTTTTGTGTTTTTGTTTTTGGAGGTCAATCAATCAATCAAATCCATCCATGGGGGATTTGGATTTGGATTTGGATGTTCTTTTTTTTTTTTTTTGGTTCAAAACCCCTTTCTGGTTTAGCCACGACGGATCATCCCCGTGAAGTAGTTGAAGTCATGGTGCTGGACCCTGAGTTGCTTTAGCCAAGAATCCGCCACGCTCAAAAGAGACACCACTCGCTCTTGGTCCCGCCCATAATTGCCAGATATCCACACGCTTCCTTGCATCTTGTATGTCGCTAGCCCAAATGCACGCAGCGCCATCTCTTCCCCTTCTTTCCTCTTCCTTTCTCCGCTCTCAAACTCATCTTCTACGTCCATATCTACAAACAAACATCAATCCACGTTCAATTTCAAACCCCATTTTACTTCAAAACCATCCATTTTCATACCTTGAAATGAAGATGAAAGCGTATGGTAAGACAGAAAACATGTCGATAAATCCTTTATGGTTCTCCCCATTGGAATATGGTAAATTGGGTACCTGAAAATCAACCCCATCCAGCACATTAATACACACAAACACTCTAATTTAGACACACGCACAGAGAGACAAACACAGACCAGGCAACAGCCATCCAACTAGCAGGAGAAAGATCCACGCTTCTCAATGTCATCAGGCCAGGGTATCTTCGAGCCAATTCATTGATCTGAAACCCCATGAAACAAATAGAATCAGAATCAGAATACAGATTAGAGGGTCAAAAAGAGTTTGATTCCACGGCATCCAAAAAGCAGCAGCACCACCACCACCATTTTCTTTTCTTCTAATGATAATATAATACAAAGATGAAGAACAGGAACAATTGAGAGAAGTGAAAGAAGGAAAGGGAATTTTCATACCTTATCCATTAGTGGGACTCTTCCGTATGGAGTTGATCTCTCGAAATACTGAAAGTAAAGGTATCCCAATCTGTCACTGAGAGATAGAGGGCTGTCTTGTTCTAATAATCCACCTCCCTCTTCCGATGAGCTTCCATCCCATCTCCATAGTTTTTCACTTTCACTCTCATCGCTGCATGAATCACTGAACGAATCCCTTGTTTCACTGTCACCACACTCATCTCTACACACAAAGGGGGAAATTCCTCATTTGGGGTTTTCATGAACAATCGAATGGATCTTGAAAATTTGATAACAGAATCGAATTAGGGTTGGATCAGAATGAAAAGAAAAGGGTAGTACCTGAAACCATTGATGGTGGAGTTGCTGGTGAAGATTTGGATTGCAGAGAGATAAGGAACGTAGTATTGAACAAGGGTCTCGCCGTTGTTGACGGCGATGGGAACGCCAGCGCCGTAGGCGCTCCATTCGTCGTAACAATTCCAGAGATCGGCGAGGGTGAAATATTCAACCCTCTCTCTCTCCCATGGATGCCACAGACGATTCAGATTCCTAATCTCACTCTAAGAAAAAGAAGCAAAGATTGGATCAATAAATCATGAACTGGGAAATGAAGGGAGGAAAGAAAGAAAGCAAGAACAGCGACAAACCTTGGGCAAGAATTGGGAATTGACAAGGGGCGTGGTGCAATGAAGAAAGCAACCCAAATTGGATTGCAGTGCTGACCCTTTGTCAAGAATCATAATCTTGGAAGAGAGGGAGAGAGATGAAATATTCAGAGCCTTCCCCCCAACCCTGCAAAGCAGAGAGGCTTCCCGGAAAGCAAACCGAAGAACAGAGCGCCGGGAAAGAGTAGAGAGACAAAGGGAAGAGGAAGAGGAAGAGGAATAATCGGAGTCTTTTTTTTCCTTTCAAAAGGCTCTTCCGATTGCGAAGAAAATAGGAACCAAAATGGAGATAAACCCACAAACGTGTGAAAGAATTTCTAAGATTAGAAACGGAAACCACCAAATTTCACGGGAAAGTTAGAATCTCTACTCTCTCTGTTTGAGAGTCTTGGCTGTCAATGGCGTCAAAATGCAAAGCCGTTCTGGTTCCCGTCGAGCGAACAGAGAATCGAAACAACTCCCGCAAGTAAAGTGCAGGGTTCTCCCTCCTCTGCTTTTAACTAACCCTAAACAAAACACGCCCACTCTTCCCCAACACTTCAATCAAGATCACCTCAGATTTCCCCAGAAACACCACGAACAACACACACACACACACACACACAAAGCAGAGAAGAAGAAGAAGATATAAATAAAGGCATCACAAATTCCAGATTTTCATTTATGGGATTTAATGGGATTTCCAGAATGCGTATCCGGAAATCAGCATCCAATTAACAAACCCCTTTTCCTTTTTATTTTATTTTATTTTATTATTTTTATCTTTACCTCTTTTGTAAAGTTTAATGGGTCTTTGGTCAGTTTCTTCAACAAAAAGGTGCATATGGTCTTTGAATTTTTCATACCCATTTGAAAATTAAATAAATATATATATATAATTTAATTTTGGGTAGTTTCAATTTAAAATACTCATATTTATCTTCTACGATTAAGTAAAAAATATATATATTATATAACAATTTGGATTCCGTTTAGAAAATCTTGTTCAATTTTTGAATTCAAACTTAGAATTCCAGAAGGAAATGAAATTGAATTTAAATTAATATTCAGATTTACACCTTTACCATTCAACCAAAATTATTATATTCTCAATCGAAAGAAACTTTTTTTTTTCAATTATTAATTTAAAAATTATTATTTTTGGATTATACATAATTAGAGGACTCGAGTTTTTATTTATTTATTTTTTTTTTATTGGGATGAAGGGAATAATTTTTTTTCTTATTTGTCTTGAACTAAAAAAAATGTCGCTAAAGTGATAAGCACTCTTAGCTGATCTAGTTCTTGAAATTATTACTATATAAAGAAATGTGTCCCGTGGATTGAGTTGGTCACGAAACATTGTTTAGTCTCCACTCAATTGTTTCCGTTGTAAATTTTTTTATTCAAATAAATCTTATTAACTAATGAATTTAAATCTTATTGACTTATGAATTTAAAGCAAATTTTTTTATAGTTGAGTTGATTTATGTTGTTCGAGTCATTTATTCAAATTTTTTATAAAAATAAAATTTATTATTTATTTTTAAACATTTAATTAAAATTCATTTATTATGAATGGATAGATATTTTTCTTTAATTATTAAAAATTTAAGATTTTAAATATTCTTTGGATCCTTGCCTTTATTATTTATTTTGATCCATATATTTTCAAAAATAACATTTTAGACCTTATTTATAAATTTTACACGCAATTCACTTGAACAATAAATAAGTAAGATTGGAAGGAAGCTCCATTAATATTTTTTAATGAGAATAATAAAATACTATAATTTATTTTCTAATAATGAGAATAATAAATAATATTGATTTTAAGAAGCTTGGTAAGAATATGCTTAATTTAATTGGAATGTCCTTACGTAGACATAAAGTCTTTCTATTCACATAAACAAATTAAACTTAATATTATTTTATCTTTATAAATTTATAAACTTTTTTATATTATATAATAAAAATAAAAATTATTTGTTTTATAATAAAATTGTAAGTATGCCAATCCCATTAATTGAGGAAAAGTAAATTAAGGCAGGACGAAAAATTACCATTTTGATTTTAAATTAGAAATATATTAATTTGTTTTTTTTTTAGATATTTTTGTCGGTGCGTAGGAAAAGTATTTATTAAATTATTATGATAAATATATACAAAAAGTCAAAACATTTATTTTCTTTTGTTTCTTTTAAGGGGCACCTGCTTAATTGCGAAACAAGGCGACAATAATCGAATTATTTAACCTAAAACTGTTACGTTGAATTTTAAATAATAAGACTTTTTCAAATAAAAATATTATATAAATAAAGGTGTCTATTTAACCTATCCGACTCCATATCTACCCGAAACAGGAGACATAGATGAAATAGAATGAGTTTTCTATTCATTGACCGGATGGAGACCAATTATTTCTCTATCCCGTCCTCACTTTAATTAAAAAAAAAAAAAACGTAAAGAATTTAATCTATGTAAAGATAAAAATAAAAAAATTTGTACGTAATGAGATTGAAATAAATGGTGGGGTCCACCCGGCAAAATCTTTTCTTATTGTGTCAATACATGGTTGTATGATTCGTCACTAAAACCATGTCTACACTCGCCAGGATTAAAATGCTCCAAAATGTACTATATGGAATGTGATTAGTTGTCAATTATTCATGTTGCTTATTTGTTTTTGGCTTACGAATATTGACTTCCTTCAAATTGTTTTTCGTGCATTTTTTCGCTCACGTTTTTCAATACGTTGTTCACAAGTCCAACTTTCGTACGACTGACTTGTTAACTGGGTTAGAACAAGTGCTGCACAATAGATGTTCCACTGCCACAAGAGTGCGATCGTAACATTAGTCATTTTCGACTAATCTAGTTGATCCTTCAAAGTTCAGGGTTCATTAATTTAGTAATGAAATTGAGGAGGGTGTTAATGTAAATTAAAAGAAGTTGGATATGATACAATACATGTGGTTTTAATTAGGTACCCACTCCAAAACATCTAATCCAATCACAAATGCATTTGGTCTACATTTCCACTTTATGGTAAAACAAATTTTGGTTACATTAATTAATTAAAAATAATATATGCTTATAAGTTAGGCTAATTAACCCCCTTCCTGTCCCTCCCACACTTTCATTTTTTATTTAGTGTCCTACCTAAGTTGTCTCTGTCATAATTAAACACATATCCATTCATTAATTTCATTACTTAATTTAATATTGTACGGAAAATATTTATCCACCAATATTCTTTTATTATATTATATTATATTATATTAGAAGTTTTTTTTTTCTGAATTTGGCTCACTTTCGAAATTGAAACTGTTTTGCTTGCGTCAGCTCGACAAACCCAAGAATCTGCGAGACCTCATATTGGTTGGGGAGGGCAACAAAACATTATTTATAGATACGTGGAAGCCTCTTCCCAGTATATGCATTTTAAAATCGTGAGGCTGACGGTGATACGTAATGAACTAAAACGGACAATATCTACTAGCGGTAGACTTGGGCTGTTACAAATGATATTAAAGCCAGACACTCGGCAATGTGCCAAGGAGGACACTAGGTCCCAAGGAGGGTGGATTGTGAGGTCTCATATCGGTTGGAGAGAAGAACTAAACATTTCTTATAAAGGTGTGGAAATCTCTCCCTAGTAGACGTGTTTTAAAACCGTGTGGCTAACGACGATACGTAACGGTCCAAAGTGAACAATATCTGCTAGCAGTGAGCATTGACTGTTACAAATGGTATAAGAGGCATACATCAGGCGATGTGCCGGTGAGGACACTAGGCCCCAAGGAAGTGAACTGTGAGGTCCAACATCGATTGGAGAGGTGAACAAAACATTTCTTATAAAAGTGTGGAAACCTCTCCCTAGTAGACGCGTTTTAAGACTGTGTGTGTGGCTTACGTCGATACGTAATGGGCCAAAGCAAACAATATCTACTAACGGTGGGCTTAGACTCTTATATCTACCTTATTTTAAAATCGTTATTAAGATTACCAATATTTTGACATTAGCGTGATTCGTAAGTATTTAATATTTGATTCCTATGGAATCTTAATTATTCGTGTATAAGATTTTTTTTAATAAATTCAATCAACTCGAAATTATAGATTTTTAATGATAATTATTCTAATTAATTATTTTTTATCATGAGTTAAACATGCTTTCATTAGATAAATGAAAAAATAAATTATAGCATTTTTTGTTTTTGTGTTTTTTTTTTCCTTCAAATCTCATTAATTATTAATAAATGAAATAACGTGAGTTTTATTTTTTATTAATATAATATTTATAAAAAAAAAAATCTTTTCCCCGCATTCAAAGGCGTGTTGAGAATAAATAAATAAAGAGGAGGGCGGCATAAGATAATTTTCATGCATAAAACAAAAACATTATCCCCTAATATTACGGTATTTATGTTTCGTGTTAAACATAAATTCTTTGTTACTTTAAACCCCAACCTTAAAGAACATGAAATTTGTATTATTAATGATCATAATGTTTTGTAAAATTAATTTCTGAATGTGTTCAAAAAATAAAAAAATAAAAGAATTAATATATTTATCAGAGATATAATCAAAATTTGTGTCAATTTAAAAAAATAAATATTTATTAAACATTTTTAAAAATTTTAATTCAATAAATATTTTAAAGGATAAAACTTAGTAATTTTGTGTATGCCTGCGTTCCATTTTGTCAACCGAATTATCATCCGTTATCTTTTTTTTTTTTCTTTTACTTTTTCTTCACGCAAGAAAAAACTATTCCAATTTCCAATCCACAAATTTCCTTTTCATCATATCATCAAAGTTAATATTTTTTAATTTTTAAATGTCTTTTTTTAATTTATAAAATTTTACTGGTGGTAAAATAAAAATAACTTTTTTACCATGGTAACAATTTTAACTTTTAAAATAATGTTGAATTGGTATCTCTATTAAGAAAAAAATTGATATAAAGACTTTGGATTTGACTGATTAGAAAAACTAGAAGTTAGTTGTTTTGATATATTTAAGGTTTTAATAACAACAATTTTCAAATAATCCAAGTCAAATTAATTTTTTTGAAAATATACATAATTGTTTCTATATTTTTTTATAAAAAAATCAACATTTTTGTTGAATTAGGTACTAGTTTAACTCTTTTTCGATTTGGATTTGATTGAATTTTTGGAAGATTGAAAATTCGGGATGATTGTAGGTTGACATTTTTTTAGTCATGTCAACTCGATCAATTCGAAAATAGGGTTACAGCTCAACTCTATCCTAACCTACTTTTAAGATTATTACGAAGATAAAAGATATTTGATGTTTATAACCGATGTTGGTAATTCGTTATGACTTGTGAATGTTTGATATTTGAAATTTATGATGTTTTAGTTACTGATTTAACATGTATGGTATTATGGATAAGTATGATTTAACCCTACTCAACTTGAAAATAGACGGTTGGGTTGGATTATGAACTCTACTCGAATTGTTTGGGTCACTAACTCAATGAACCCGAATTTTTGGACCGGTTCAAAAAATTTCTCTAATCTAACTCAACATAGTCCGTGTAACGTTCTAATTTTAACGGACTCTATTATATTTTTACGGCACAACGAAGAAGACCATAGAGAAGGGGGAGGATTAGGAAATGAAGAAACAAGGCTGAGCTTTCCAAATGTTATGATATTTAGATGAAAGTGAAGGTGGAAATTATGGAGAAAGTC